CTTCTTTTCATTTGTCTCCCACTGGCTTGTCTCCCACTTCCTTTCATATGTCTCCCACTTCTTTTCATTTGTCTCCCAGGCTGGGTGCTTGTGGTCGGGTTCCCGGCTGGCTTGTCTCCCACTTCCTTTCATTTGTCTCCCACTTCTTTTCATTTGTCCGGCTGGGTGCTTGTGGTCGGGTTTGCGGCTGGCTTGTCTCCCCGGCCGGATTGTCTCCCACTTCCTTTCGTTTGTCTCCCAGTTCTTTTCATTTGTCTCCCAGGCTGGGTGATTGTGGTCGGGTTCCCGGCTGGCTTGTTTCCCACTTCCTTTCATTTGTCTCCCACTTCTTTTCATTTGTCTCCCACTTCTTTTCATTGTCTCCCAGGCTGGGTGCTTGTGGTCGGGTTCCCGGCCGGCTTGTCTCCCACTTCTTTTCATTTGTCTCCCAGGCTGGGTGCTTGTGGTCGGGTTCCCGGCTGGCTTGTCTCCCACTTCCTTTCATTTGTCTCCCAGGCTCGGTGCTTGTGGTCGGGCTTGTCTCCCACTTCCTTTCATTTGTCTCCCACTCCTTTTCAGGCTGGGTGTCTGGTCTGGTTCCCGGCTGGCTTGTCTCCCACTTCTTTTCATTTGTCTCCCACTTCTTTTCATTTGTCTCCCAGGCTGGGTGCTTGTAGTCGGGTTTCCGGCCGGCTTGTCTCCCACTTCCTTGCATTTGTCTCCCACTTTTTCCCCAAGCAGTTTACTGTTAGGGGTTCTCAATTCTTTCTTAAGATGTGTCCGCCCTTTGTGTCACTGCTGGTGTCCGCCCATTTCCACTGGCCATGTAGCATTTCTATTCATTTGTCTCCCAGGTCTGTCACTGCTGGTGTCCGCCCTTTTCCGTTGACCATGCAACATTTCTATTCATTTGTCTCCCAGGTCCGCCCTTTTCCGCTGGCGATGCAACATTTCTATTCATTTGTCTCCCAGGCCTGTCACTGCTGGTGTCCGCCCTTTTCTGCTGGCCATGTAGCATTTCTATAAATTTGTCTCCCAGCCCTGCACTGCTGGTGTCCGCCCTTTTCTGCTGGCAATGTAGCATTTCTATTCATTTGTCTCCCAGGTCTGTCGCTGCTGGTGTCCAGCATTTCTATTCATCTCCCAGGTCTGTTACTGGTGGTGTCCGCCCTTGGACGCTGGCCATGTAGCATTTCTATTCATTTGTCTCCCAGGTCTGTCACTGGCGTTGTCCGCCCTTTTCCGTTGGCCATGCAGCATTTCTATTCTTTTGTCTCCCACTGCTGGTGTCCGCCCTTTTCCGCTGGCGATGCAACATTTCTATTCGTTTGTCTCCCAGGTCTGTCACTGGTGGTGTCCGCCCTTTTCTGCAGGCAATGCAGCATTCTATTCATTTGTTTCCCAGGTCTGTCACTGCTGGTGTCCGCCCTTTTCCGCTGGCCATGCAGCATTTCTATTCATTTGTCCCCCAGGCTTGTCACTGGTGGTGTCCGCCCTTTTCTGCTGTTTCTATTCATTTGTCTCCCAGGTCTGTCACTGCTGGTGTCCGCCCTTTTCCGTTGGCCATGTAGCATTTCTATTCATTTGTCTCCCAGGTCTGTCACTGCCAGTGTCCGCTCTTTTCCGCTGGCCCTGCAGCATTTCGATTCATCTCCCAGGTCCGTCACTGCTGGTGTCCGCCCTTGACCGTTGGTCATGCAGCATTTCTATTCATGTGTCTCCCAGGCCTGTCACTGGTGATGTCCGCTCTTTTCCGCTGGCCATGTAGCATTTCTATTCTTTTGTCTCCCAGGTCTGTCACTGGTGTGTCCTTGTCTATTGGCCATGAAGCATTTCTATTCATTTGTCTCCCAGGTCCGTCACTGCTGGTGCCATGTAGCATTTCTATTCATTTGTTTTTCAGGTCTGTCACTGGTGGTGTCCGCCCTCCATGAAGCATTTCTATTCATTTGTCTCCCAGGTGTGTCACTGCTGGTGTCCGCCCTTTTCCGCAGGCAATCCAGCATTTCTATTCATGTGTCTACCATCACTGCTGTGTCCGCCCTTTTCTGCGGCCATGCATTAGTCTCCCAGGTCTGTCACTGTTGGTGTCCGCCCTTTTCCGCTGGCGATGCAACATTTCTATTCATTGGTGCTGCCGCCCTTTTCCGCTGGCCATGTAGCATTTCTATTCATTTGTCTCCCATGCGACTTCTTTCTTTTTGTCTTTCAGGTTTTGGTGCCTGCACTGCTGTTTTCTGCCGCGTGACTGTCTCCGGGAGTGCATTTCTGCCACACTGTGTAACTCTCTCAGCTTTGTTTTCCTTTTCGGGCAAGCGTTGGATGAATGACCGGATTGGATTTCGGCGGCGTGGCAGCGATCTCTCTGTTCAGTTGGGACGGAGGGCATGCGTCAGGCACCAAAAATCAATTTCATGTCACATCCTTCGCTCCTCATGCTTCTATTTCTTGTCCTCACGTGGTCAGCTCCTTGCTGATTGAGCAGCATGACCAGCATCATGTTCGCACTTGAAGAATAATTCCCCAAAAGGTTTACTGTCAGGGCTTCTCAATTCTTTCTTAAGATGTGTCCGCCCGCTCTGTACCGTCTCTGCCTTGCAATCCTTTACGTTCGTCTCCCAGCTCTGGGCTGCTGTGGCCGCCTCTGCCTTGCAATCCTTTGTCTCCCAGCTCTGGACGTCGCAAGCTCTAGTTTCGATTTTGAAAAACACAAACTGTTTGGGGTCTACGGTGGTGTAATTTTGGGCATCGTCGGTCATGCAGTTGGCAGCGGCTCCGAGGCCATCAAATTGAGCTGCTCCGGAATCAAGAGACCAGGCAACGGCACCAACTCCGAGATCAAGAGATGAGGGACAAGGGCGAGATCGTTCAGCAGATGGATCCTGGCTCAGCTCGTGTAGACTGAGGTGCTTGTATAGGTTCGCTGGTGTCAATTGGCTGTCAATCCATTTTGTTACATTTGACGGCTTGCTAGGTGGCTAAAGATTTTGCCTCATTTCACGGCATGCCTGCAGCGTTCCCTGAGGAACAAGAAATGGAAGCAGACAAGAGGAAGCTTGCTCTTGAGGTGCAGCAGCAGCATCAGCGACTGATCCTTCGACAGGCTGGTAGTTTTGGACAGCTCAATAATGTTGAAAAGCTTTGAGCAAGGCACTGGTGAATGAATGTGGTCGTTGCCATGCAAGCCTGACGGCAGAGGTCATGCTATATACCAAACATTTGATTGCCGTATATTCATATTTTGAGCTGAATTGAAATCCGGTCCATTCCAGTGGTACGCTTCCTATTTTCCACATATGGTCTTTTATGTTCCGAATCATTGAAGGTATTTGCATTTGTTCTTCGTTCCTTTCCTTCTTTAGGCAAGCAGCATTTTTGTTTGTATGACTATATGATATTCATGGATATTCTACAGTATATTGTGTGTAGAGTGCATGTCCAGTTTTAAAGAAACTGTTTGAGGTCAAATTGAGGTTTCATAGCAAGATAGTAGCCCTCAATCAGACTTCTGCTTGCAATCCATTCTGTGAAGCGACAGCGCTGTAGAATTGCATGTTGCTCCACAAACTCTTCAGCATCCATTTCAAGGTTTTTTGGTCATGCACCTTGTGATTGAACCTGCACCTCCTGCTTGATCTTCTTGGTTGCAGTTGCAACATTAACCAATGGAGGTGTATCAGTCACTCAGAGTCAAAAGCAAGAATTGATAACCCAATCTAGGCCAACGTTGCAGGTTTTAGCTGGGTCCGGTCTTGTTGTCGCTCCGTGAGGGTCAGCTTGAGCATGATCTCCAACGCTTGCAAGAACAGCTCAGCCAGGTTGGACACTGGACAAACGCGCAAACGCGCAAGCAAACCCTGACCAATCCAGTGTATTGCACAGGACGAGGTGCGCGAACAGCAGATGACCGAGGCAGTAGCACAATCAGAGAGGTGGGAGACACGATGAATTTCTTAGACTTAGACAGTGCAAAATAAACAGTTCAATCAGATCCTGGCCTTGTTGGCAAGGCGCTTGCGACTGCAGCTGCACCAAAGTGAGTTGGCGAAGCAAGAAGAGAGTCAGCAGATGCAAGATGCCATGGAGCAGGTGACAAGAACCTGGAAAGAACGTATATAACATAACGTAACCATCCATGCAATTCTTTTGGAGGTTCTTTGTGGCCCCCCTTTTCTGATCCTTCCAGACTTGCGAGGAGAAAGTCCTCGAAGCTCAGCAGCGCAGAGTGCAAGAATTGTCGGACAAGCTGAAGGATCTGGAGCTTCAGCAGAGCATTTTGGCAGACAAAGAGGAGACGAGACCTTGTGCGACTTACGACCTGCCCCGGCGCTTGTGTGTAGATCATGTTGTTGAAATACCTTGTCCGCAAGAGGATCAACTCCGTTTGGACCAGATGGAAAGACAGGAGCAGGCCATTCAACTTGAACTGGTATCGCCTTGATTTGCCTTGTGTGTTGGTGTGCTGGCATCATATCGCCCGGATCAGGTCTTGCGAAAGCGGCAGGAGCAGCAACTTCGAATGTGCCAAGTGCAGCTGCAAGAGATGCGGAGTCAACAGGAAATGTGCGAGGCTCACTGCTGGTGCCTTCCGAGATTTGATCAAACTCGCAACACATTCGCTCCAGTCCTTGCTCATCTGATTCCAGCGGCACGACAAATTTCTTGAACTCTGTCATCTCCCAAGGTCAGATCAGCAGTTCCGATCGAAATTGGAGCGGGTGCAACGCGAGCTGGAGCTGGTTGGACAGCGTGTGAAGGACTGCTCAGGGTGCCAGGGTGCAAAGCTGCAGATTCTAAAGCTCCTTCACTGAGGATCTTCAGGAGCAATTCCTGCGGACTCATGAGGTGGCGGCGAGTGGCAAGGAAGATCCTTTGCAGGTCCGCTTGATCGAGAAGAAGGTGGAAGATGCTGGTCCAAAAGCTGTTCGCTACAGTACAGCCTGCAGAAGCCATAGGCTTGCCAGCTTTCGCTGTCAGAATGCGTTTGTGGGACAGCTGTGTGACGGCTAGATGCTGCAGAGAGAGAGAGAGAGAAAGCAATATAGATAGATAGATAGATAGATAGAGAAAAACTCTCGAATGAGATGGTCAGGCGCTCAACATCCATTGAATCCAATGTTTCATGGTGCGTTTCATCCGAAATGGATCGTTCGTAATGTTTCCGTATTACTACCCGGAACATATCAAATTCGTGTTGTGGTTTCCTGGCCTGCTTACCTGAATTGCCTAAGCGGCGCTCAAACGAGTTTCCACGTGGGCTCCGAGGAAATCGAGAAAGAACTTGTGAAATTGAAAGAGGACTTGCTGCAGCACAGCAACTCCATGGCGCAGCAGGACCTGAAAACTTGAACCTGCTGCGTCACAAGGGGGAAGCAGGAATGAAGCGCCTTGGTGTATTGCGTTTCGTCAAGCAGAGGGTACAACAAAGCATGAGCGAAATTGGACATTTCTGCAGCAAGAGGCACTCCCATCGTGAGCGATGGCCCAGGGAAGCCTGAGCCGGTTCGCGCGCGTTGTTTTTCTACTGGATGCTAAGGGGTACCCACTCGTACCCCTGCAAAGAAAACGGTAAAGAAAGAACCATTTTGTGGGTTTTTACCGTCTTTCTTGCGCATTTGGTACGGCAATTTGGCCAGCAGACCCGGACCAAACCGTAACACATGGTAAACCAATATCGTTTTTCCCGTTTTAATTAACCGCGCATTGGTACAGTAATTTGGCCAACAGACCCGACATAACGGTAAAAACATAACATAACTGTTTTTTACCGTTTATACTGCGCATTTGGTAGAGCAATTTTGCCAACAACAAATTCAATTTTTGACTTTTTTTTTTCTCCTGCGCCTCTCGGAAACTGCAGAAAAGCAAACATCACTTACCTTTGACCTAGGACCTGAACATCTTGCATTACTACGATGTCCTGTCAAACAGACTGATTTGCTCCCAGTGAGCTGCGCCTTCTGAACACTATGGAAAACACCCCCTGAACAACTGAAGCAAATGGCATGCTCTTTGTACTTCACAAACCACTAGCTGGATAAAGCGTTCGCAGTAAAAACATCGCACTTTTTTTTTTTTTTTTTTTACTCTTTACCGTTTCCAATCAAAGAGTTTGACATGTCTATATTTTTGGACCCGAAAGCAACGAGTACAAAGGACAGATTCACTGCATCTTTGATAAAGCCAAAATGCCTGACAGATCCATGCAACACGGTAAAACAAGATACTTTTCTTTTCCAGTTTTAGCGTTAATTTGTAGCACGTGTGGTAAAAACGATGGGCAACCGACCCGGGAAAACGGTAAACACATAAACATGTTGATTTCTACAGCTTTTTGCCGCGGAAGTGCTTCGGGGGAACCCTGTAGCCCGAGCGACACTGCTAAACCAGTACAGCAACTTGTGCAGACTTGCTCACTCTTTTGACTTCGAGCTTCAGGAGCAGCGCGTTCAGGATCAAGAAGAGCAGCTGTCAACTTTGCAGCAGGATGTCTTGCGAGAGCTGGAGGAGCACCGTTTTTTGCCAATCTTGCAAACATGTATATAACTTCTTAAAGTACAAGCAAGATCAAATGAGGGCTTTTGTGCATAGCACATCATGTCCCAGCTGTTTTACTGTAGGAGCATTTGGAAAAGCCACGCGAACGTGGACCAGAAGGGGAAGACGCTGTGGCACAGATTTTCTACTTCAAGACATCCCGGAAAGTAGTTCTGCTACTCACAATGCTCTTCGCGGGTTCCATGGTTTCGGCTTTACCGCTTTGTTGGGGGTTTTGCCGGGGCACAAGGGGCACATTGGCCCCGGGATGATCTCCGGATGACACGTTCCAAGCTCAGGAGCTGCCAGATTCCAGGGCCTTGAGGAAGAAGCTTGAGAATGATCGGGAGGAAGTGATCAAACAGATCGCTGCACAGCAGCAGCAGCGAAGCCTCCGAGCAGAACAGCAGCAACGGGTGATTGACCGGCTGGGAGGCCAACTGGAGGTTTTGCTGAAACTTCTGGAAGACATCAAAGCGAATCCTGTGATGACACCAACGGGTCGAGAAGGATTGAAGACCAAAGCATATAGCGTTTTTGCTGCAAGTTATGTCAGTGATGTCAGGCTGGAGCTGCCTTAGTAATTAATATAGTCGCGCGGACGCTTTGGACCTCATTTGGTTCTTGACCATTTGCGGCAACTGGTCAGTTTTACACCAGCTGCTGTTTGTTCACACTTGTCAACCACCAAGTCTGACCCGCTTATACATCCGAGGCACGGTGAGGCAACAAGAAGAATGGATGCAGCAGCTTGTGAGCTTGGAGCAGCAGCAAAAGGAGCTCTTCTTCGAAGAGCAGAGGCGCATGGAGCGCTATGAGGCCGGAATTTCCGGTTATATAAAAATGTCAAAAGATGTCCGAGCCGGCTTAAAGATCCCGAGGCAGCACCGCAAGTCTTTTCAATTCAATCCAAACTATGTTTCGGAGACCTTTGCCATAGTTGAGCTGAGGAGACCGCTGAACATTGGAAGCTTGAGCAGGAAGCCTTGTCCATGAGACAAGAAGCGGCAGAAGAAGCAGCACGTGATGCAGAGCGCCAGGCCATGGAGGAAGCTGCTAGACATTTGGCTGAAGGAAAGCTTGTACCAGGTGCAAACTTGGAAGTGATTCTGACCGATCCGGGCCCCGTTGGCTTGACGTTCCACGCGGATGACGAAACTCCTCCTCGAGTGCGGAAGGTGAAGAAAGATAGACGCGAATTCTGGGAGAAGCAAGGGATGCAGGATGGAGCGGTGATTTTGGCCGTTGGTGATGCCCCTACAGCACATTTGACTAGTGCTGAGCTGCTGCCGCTCTTGAATGGTCGACCCTTAAGACTGCAGTTCGCACTGGGCCCCGTGAGAACTGGAATCAACAGCACAGACAACAATGGACAAACTGCATTACATCGTGCTCTTGAGAACGGGGACGAGGCAGAGGCTCTGAAGATCCTGGCAGAACCCACATTCAATTCCATCAATGTGCAGGAGTAAATTGGAGACAAAGATTGATCATGTGTCCAGTGTCCAGTACTTGTAGTTTGTACAATTTTGTACATTTCAATAGCTTGAATCGAGCGTTTGAAGGTGCAAGTGTTCCTCACACATGCCTGCGGACAGGACAATCTTGGGAAGACTGCGCTTCATTGGGCCGCAAGTGGTGGTATGGGAGAGGCTTGCAAGGCAATTCTGAGCCTCCCGACAGCGATTCAGCCTTTAGGACATTCCCGACAGTGTTCGGGACTTGGGAGTCAACCTGGGAGTCGATAGAAACCAGCCGGGAAGGACCCTTTGCACGACTGTCATAACCCGGGTTGCAAGGCCATGCTGACTTCAACCAGGAAGATGCAGTGGACTACAGAGGCATAACTGCATATGAAGACGCAGAGGGTGCTGGTCAGACACAGGTGCCTCCACCTAATGATGGTCATAAGAGCTAGTTGTTCGGTGTAGTGTGATCAGAGTGCGCTACCTTTGTCACACGATGTCACCCGTTTCTTTGTGCTGTCGAGAGATGCCGCAAGGTGGTTAGTTTTTCGCTTGTGGCTCTAATTTTCTATGCAAGGTTGTCAAGATTTTTGACACGCACACAGCTGAAGCTGCTGATGAACAAGAAGGATGGTGAGCCAGAGAACTATGCCACACAATGCCAAATTCAAATCGATCTTCCACCTGGAGCTGTCTTTCGCGTGAACTTCCAGTTGCTTGTTCTGTGGGGAATGCATGGAGCCGCTTGAGTCATTGGTCAGCAGTGGTCAGCTAGCAGGCCTGTCCAAGAACGTGGACCTACGCGATCATGAAATACGACTAGCACTCGTGCACTCGTGAAAACGATCGCAGATGTTCTATGTATATATCATTATATATCCTGCTATGATAATAAGGCGAGGTCGCAGGGCAGCATGGACATGCTGACATGCTTGTTTCTTGTGGTTATAGCCGTTTAGGCCCTGCTTGGGTTTGAAGCCATGGCGAAGCTGGTGAGATCAGGGACGCGCACCAAGGCGAGACAATCCATTTGAAGTGCACCAAGCTGTCGCTTCTTCTTCGCTCCGCTTCACACGCAGCACATGTTTGCTAAATAACGGCTAAATACATCTATATAAATACGGCTATATATAATGTACCTCTTGAAATCCATTGAATCTGAATCTATGGCTGTAGGTGTGGAATTAAATGACTGTTTCATACTGTTTCTATAATCAACAAATGTACACAACTGCTTTATATGGCAGCTCGGTGGCCTGTTTGCTTTGTCACTTTTCTCTGATAAAACTTTCCCCTGATCAGGAGGAGGTCGAGGAATGGATTTGCAAAGAGTGTGAGGCTTCATTCTCTTTTTGGTGGGGTGTGGTCCGGTGTCTATTTTTTATGAGACTGTCTATTCCAGTGAGGGATCGTTGTCCGGAGCTGGCATTGACATTTTGAGCATCACTTCACCTGGCTCCGTGTTTCGGCCATTCCTCCTAATTCTTTGCGCAGGGAGTTGTTGCTGCTCCAGAGGTGAGCGGTTGGGAGGCACAGGACCTTGGGGTGAGGGTTGCACAAGAACCTTGCGGGTGCCTGCTACTTTGCTGCACCGAATTGTCAGGCCACGAAGCAGGTGGGTCGCACCATCATGTCCCTTCTTGGAGGCGGAGCAGAAACAGCCAAGGCCTTTTGACTTGCAAGTAGCCGCAATACCGAGAATGCCGCAGCAGGTTGCATCCCGCCAGTGAGCATACAGATGGCAGATCTCTCATACATTTCCCAGTTCTCCCAATGTTTTGGTCGCCGCACTTGCGTAATGCGGAGGGGTGGGAACTGTCGAGCAGAGGTGACCATTTGTACAAGACGCGGGTAATTACGAAAGCCAGCCAATAGGCTAGGCTGGAGAGTTGTCGATGGGCGAACGAAGTGAGTATTGGGGGGTGTAGTGGGGTGGTTGCATAGCGGCACAATTTGGGTAGGGCGAACCCAGAGCCTGGTGGGGGAGAGCAAAAAACAGAGGCGGTCCGAGGGGCTGTGAAAATGTATGGTTTTTGGATGTTTTTGGGGTGTTGTGATGCTAGTGATGTAATTGACACCGAAGGGTGCATCATTAGGATGATGAGGGGCTCACGTCAGCCGCAATGTCGACTTCCCCCCAATCTGGTATTAAAGACCAGCGCCCAGCGCCCTTGTATTAAAACAGCCTGCTTGCTTCAATGAAGTGCGGATCGGTGCGAGATCCCAGTTCGCAATGTCAACGGCCTCGTCCCAGTTCCGAGGTTGCCACAGATAGCTTTTACGGCCTGACTGGCCGACTGCTTTCTGGGGAGCAAGTAAGCTTTGACATGTTCAAGGGCAAAGCGCCTTGGCGAGCATCAGGTAGTGATGGATTGCGCTTTCATCCAGCGACCAGCAGCTACATTTTTCCTTGCGCTTGTAGTTGGGTGTGGCTGCCGTGGCAAATTGCACAGGGGATCAAACGTGTTTGATCAAGCTGGGAGTCGCATGTTAATATATAGATCTCTTTGCAAGCAGTCTCAGCCTTGTATTGTGCCAGGTGCTGCTGGTCGTAAATGTGGCAACCAAATGAGGTGTGGCTCTTGGTCTAAATACTTGTGAAGTGTGAGGAGTCAGGAGCAACCTGGGCCGTAGGTGAATATTTGTCAACAGGTTCTATTCAGGCTACATCCCTTGTTTTCAATCATTGAATCATGTGCATTGTGCTTGTTTTGCCTGGTTCTTCTTTGTCACGGGTTTCTGATATTTTTCTCTCAAGGTCTGACGAAGCAGAATTATGCTGAACTATCTGAGCTTTGCAGTGGGCTAATTGATGAACCCTTTGAAGTGCTGCATGGCTCAAACTGCTGGGAGAAGGGTTCATGGGCAGCGAGATTGTAATGCTCGATTGGCAGCAGTGGTGCTATAACATTATGACATGGCCTGAGTCTTGCTTGGCTATTGGGCTGTTGGGAAAGGGTGTCAAGATTTGGTCTGTATGTTGCTACTTGAGCCGAGTAACCGAGTAACACTGTTCATTGCAGATGAAACGCGAAACAACATAGCTGCTACAGTGTTGCAGTACTTCTCAGTGGTGATTCACAATTTCCGAACAGATGCGCCAATAGCAGCATGTATCTACTATCTACTGAGTATACTGAACAATGACACCAGTGATCACTTGTGCTCAAACACTGATGTGCAATGCTGCAATACAAGAGTCTACGCCGTTTACGCTCACTTAGGTTAGCTTTCCCTTGCAACCAGTTTGGAAAGCAGGAGGAGGACCATGAGTTGGTTCACTGGGATGACCCCGTGTTTGTGTGTGGAGAAGTTCTTTGGTAGGTTCTCTTAGTTGAGGTTGCTCACTTATGTGTGTCGTCATGTTGTCCAGAAATATTATTGCAACCCACATGATTTGAGACACCAATAAGTACAAGCAAAGCAGACATGGCACGAGTTCGACACAGCAGCAGATGTGTTGGCGCTTACCCTCACAATCCTATACCCAAACTGAAGAAGGTTTATTTTGAAGGGACCCCCCTCAACCCAGAAGAGCTTGCAACGCTCAGGGATATACAAGAGGCACATCACCAACATCAGATCCCAAAAAATCAGGTTTTACTGCTTTGCCCAACCAGTTTTATCACCCGGCCCTTCGTGTAGTACTGCGGAAGACTTCACCAGGCATGACGTGTTACACTTTTGTCGGATCCCATACTTGTGAGGGGACCAGCGAGCAAATTAGCGACTTCATTTCAGGCGCGGAGTCATGCACATTGTGACAGCTTGGCCCACAGCCACTGCGGGTTGATGAAAAGGACCACTTCCTTCCATTCTACACTTCCCTCTACTCTCTTCCTACAGTAGAAGTGCAGTCGAAATGTTCCATGACCACGTGCACTGCGAAGGCAAATTGACAAAGTCAAACTTTACCATCTTCGAGAAGTGCCATGTGAATGGCCCGCATACGCATCCGGCCTGGCACTTCTGCAGGCGTTCTGGATTTTGGCGAGTGGTTTGAATGCCAACACGACGGTTTGAATTGTTGCATACGGTTGACCTTCACTGCAGCGGGCACCGTAGAACGGTTCAGGTACAATGCTGATGCTACGCGTACAGGAACCAAGAAGATGCTTCCCATTCCATGGAACTTTGCTCGGTCCTTGGGTGAGCCACCACGGAAGAATCAGAACGAGCTTGCTGTGGAGCAGTGTAAAGTTGGTTGAGATTTCCTCTTTGAGGCCAAATTTGTCATTGACCGCGACGGTCATGTGCTCAAGTACTACTCACCAAAGCCAGAGCCACGGGTGGAAAATGGTGGAAACGCTGCGCAGAACTTGTTGGATGACATGCTCTGGAGCCTGAGGGTACCTCCTTCCGACATCAAGCCGGACATCCTGGGGCTTTTGTCTGGCAGCCTCCAGGCCAATCCCCCGCAACCACCAACGATCAAGCCGGAGGCGTGAGTGGCAGAGTTTGGGTGAAAAGTGGCACAGTGAGCCCCTAGTAGCTTCTTGTTCCTAGTAGTACGGCCAGGAGCACCTAGTAGCGTCCATGCTCCTAGTAGCGATGCCAGGAGCCCCCAGTAGCGTCCATGTTCCTCGGACTTTAGGGAATTGCAGAGTGCGATGGGGGGGAAGAAGCTGGGTGTCATTTGTTGGTCAGGATGCACCTCCAGGCTTCCTGGCAAGGCAGGCGGAAGCGTCGTAAAACTGGACGCTATGTATTTTGCAGCAGTTCTTCGTTGTCCATTGCCACATTCCATGACCGCCAGGACGAGCTAACCGCACGGCCAGTGACCTTAGGTCATTTTAGCCTCAGTTCGCCACTGGCAACACACATTCGCGTTGGCTCGTGGCCTGTTTTCCTATTTTCAAATTTTCGCCAATGCGCTTCACCCAAGCAATGGCACTTGCAGCAATGCTTCCCATCAACTTGTGAAGGTGCTAGGTGACCTGCAGACGGCTGCATCCGGCCACAGCCTCCATTTTGGCTCGAAAGGATGCAATTTGCCAAGTCATGCAGTGAGAAGCATCGGATCAAGATTTGATGGAGAGGCTGTTGCAACAGCACTCTTTTGCGCAGATCGCGAACAATAGTGACTCAGCCACACTCGATGCCTAGAAGGATGTAGGTTGGCATTGGATCACATCATTTCCTGGCAAATTGCTTTGAATTTGTTGTTTGCTGATTGCTGTGCTGTACTGTGTTGGCGCGAAGGATGCACAGGTCTTGCATGGTATTGCCATATATTGCCTTTTGTGCTGCTTCAGTCAATCCACTGGTCCGGTCCTGTGCTGATCCACCAGTCCAGTCGTCGCATGAAGTGTCCCCACCAGATCCACCAGGTTACAGAGGCTGCCTAGCTTGCTTTCACAACTTCCTACAGCGATGGTTCATGAAAAGGGATTCATCGAAATTGAACGATTCTTGTGAAGTCCTGGTTGGGTACAGTCGTCGTGAGCACTTTTGCTTTGCCTTGGTCACCCGGTAGCCAACTGGACCATACTGGACCGACTTTTTACTTCCTGTGTTGGCCTTGTGTTGCATTTAGTTTCTTGCTGTTGCCTATTGTTGCCAGACTTTTGGCATTGGTTAATAACAATGTATAGTTTTGTTGGGTTGGCTGTCAGTCTTGATGTCTCCTGCCCAGACTGGCCAGCCCTGCAAGGCTGAACTGAACGCAATACTTTTGCCCGCTTAGTGTGGATGCCCAAACCGCAAACCTGTGATGGCGCTGCCCTTTTGAGATCTCCAGAGCGTCCGCATTCGACACCTGTGTGGAGCTCCAGTGCAAGGGGAATGACCTTCATGTGAGAACCAATATTTTGGCATCCGTCCGATTCGGATTTGCGACTGTCCACCTTCGGTGGTCCATGGCATCCTGTGCACCGTTCTCCGCTCGAGGGCAGGCGTGGTGGCTGGTGTG